CATAAATCAAGAGGTTAATGTAAAACACATAAGTGGTCAAGTCAGGTGTCATCAATTATAAGGCCGAAAAAAAAACCCCCTTCCCTTCAATACTGATGCATAATTCTTCCAGGAGAAGATGTTCTTTTCTTACTTATTTGGGCTATCTACTTAAGCACTCCTATTTGACTTGCTCTGCAGTAACTTCTCCACTCCTACTCTCTTGACTAAAATGGGAGCAACAGGACATATAGTTGCAATTCAGTTGTTAAAGGATAAGATTGAAACATACTTCCATTTCTCACTTCCTTGCCTTTGTATAGCTTTCAGTATAAGGAGTATAAGTTAAAGTAATAGTAATGATGGTGATGATTATTATTCTCATAATAAAATAATAAGAAGGCAGTAATGACACTTATGAAATGTCTACCACCCACCAGGCACGATAAGAAGTGTTATACACATACACTTTCATTTCAATCTGCTACAATAAGAAGAGACAACTATAACACACACACATGAATACATTTTAGAGAAAAACAAAAAACAAAACCTGGGTTCCCAGTGCTTGGTTAGTAACTTATACATGTAAGTGCCTAATTCAAAACCAATTCTATCATATTACCCAGCCCATGAATTTCTTTGTGCCACACTGCCCTTCTTCCCCCTGACCATATTCCTCTCAAGCAACCCCTTGGGAAGAGGATTTAAATCTAAAAAACATCTACCTATCCCTTCTGCAATCTCCTCAATTACAGTAACCATTTAGAAGCTGTGGGTTAAGTGGTAGGCACTTTTCTTGTCCCATGTTTCATCTGAGGGAGCAGAACTGGAGGAAGTAAGTAACGTGCCAAAAGTCTTAGATCTAGGAGAGTTCCAATCAGGGATTCAAACAAGGCAGTCTGGTTCCAGTGCCTACACTCTTATCCTGATGCCACCCTGCCTCCCAGGGGGCCCCATCCACCAATGAACTGGACAGATATTTTGCAACAGAACTGGACAGAACAGTCTAGGTTCTACACCAGCAAAACAGGTAATGGTTTACCTTCGCAATTCTGGGAGTTGCCAGTGATATGCTCTGTGCTTGGCGACAGAACAGATGTTTAATAACTTTGTGGTAGCAAGGAGGAGGTTACATAACATGGCTGAGCTATTTTTGAACTTTCGAAAATGCTGACTGCTCTTTTCAAAGTGCCTTCTGTAAAACCAGGAGTGTTAAACTAAAGAATATTCCCCCCTTTCCCTCACTTTTTTTATTCTGAAATCCCAGAAATGGAAACAGGTCCACAGTAAGATCATTAGCACATCATTCTCAGCAAGCCCTCCTATGTACTGGTCAAGCATCGTACGCAATAAGTCACCGTTACAGTATCCTAACAACCCAAGCTCTGTGCATAAGATTACAAGTCATATCCATGAGGACCACCAGAGGGCACAATTATCTAGCCCCGAGATGTCATGCTCAACTAGCTGAAGCTGGACCCCAGATCTTCTCAGTCACACATGCAACCATCAGGCACAACTTCTTCGAGACCTGTTCTGAAGCCATCTACATCTTCCCTTCTGTGTCGAGGGAGTAAGGAGAGCTCTTTGTTTACTGGATGTTTTAGAAAAGAAGAATTTTTAATCCAGTGGAAAATGTGACTTTTAAAGTTTGAAGTCAGAACACCTAACTCCAGAGTCCTGGGCTCCACTGTGCAAGCTGATGGGCCCATCTCAGGCTGAAGACAGATCTGTTCTCTGCCCTCAGCCATCCAGATTGAAGATCCCGTCCTATCAACAACCTAAATGCCCATTAAAGGGAGATGATTAAATAAAAGATAGAACACTTATACAAAAGAATACAGCACAGCAACTGAGAGGAATATGCTAGAATTACATGTATCTTCATAGACGAATCTTGAAAACATGGTATGTTGAGGTAAAGTAAATTCTAATATATTAGATACCATTTTTGTACCTAAGGAAGAACTATATTTGGTCTAAGGTTGCACATACATCTATACTGAAATACGAAACATGTACATGGATTTGAATGACACCAAATTCATTGTAGCATTTTCCCCTCCCATGCAGAGAAAGGGAGAGAAGCGGGACTGAGCAGAGGTATGAGCAGGATCACTACATTATCAGTAAGGTTTTATTTCTTTCAAAATTTTGAAACACATGTGGCATGATAACCTTTGCTCTCTGTGGTAGGTATTGGGATGGGTGTTTTATTGGACTCTGCACTTTTCTGTACTATTCTTTTTTCTCAGTATTAAAAAAAGAGTTCTTGTTATCTGAGTTATTTTTTAGATGAACTTCCCCTACCACATCAGACTGTACATTCTTTGAGGGGTGAGGTCACACAGGGACTAGCACAGGGCCCATTGGACGATAGGAGTGATTTCTGGAGGATGGAAAGATATATAGTGCCCTTAATCCTTTTCTTATAACTGCCTTCTTTGGCTTTCTCAAGCTCCCAGTACTTGCCTGGCCTTGGGAATGTCCCACTCTTTCCTGCGTGTGTGTAAAAAGCACATGATAGTGAGGAAATGTTGTCAGGGCCCTTGGCTTGTGCCAGGTTCCAGCCTCTCATACTAGGTGAGCACCACCGGACTCCAAAAATGGAAAAAGTTTCATTAAACACCAGTCAGTGGATGATGGCTTGCCACACCTGATGCATTGCCTCTCTGGGGCTGAAATACCATGTACAAAACTGCCGCATTCAAAAGCATGACTCCTGGAAATAGCACAACAGCATTTCACAGCAGTAGGATTTTTTTTTCTTTTTTTAGGACTGGAATTCGGGGTGGTCACTGGAAAGGAGATTTGAATGTTTTGCCAATTATCCTTCTCAAGTTCCTTTTCCTACATATGTTATATTTCAATTACTCTAAAATTAAGTTATGTTTCCATAAAAATTATGCATTTCTGAATATTCCAGCTGCAGGGCACTTCTTCTAATGAAAAGTAGGAATTCATTAGCCCAGCTCTTGTCTTTGGCTGGCAGGAATCGTGCCTTTGTGAGAGGCTCCCATGTTTCCTACTGATTTATCTCCACTCCTGATATTTGGACAATTTAGAATGCTGAAAGTAGCAATGTAGACACAAAATCATTAAAGAGAGGAAGGGGAAAGGGAAAGGGAAATTTCAAAGGACCATGATTTCTTAATTCAAGAGTTTTTCAGGGTTATGTCAATTTTATGCACACATTACATACATGCACACACACGTGTACTCACACTGACACTCACACACACACACACCCCTCCAGCCCCAGCCCAGAGATCATCCCTGAACTACAGCAGTTTCAAAGTCCTGAAACCTTCTGGGAAACACTTCTGAGTCATGTGTTACTCTGCTAATAATAAACCAAACTAGTCTGCTGAGTAGAATTCCTGATGACCAAAAACAATTTCATTGATCACTCTGTCATTAAATAATTACCAGGTGCTAGGCACAGTGCTAAGCAGCACTTTTCATGCACCACCTCACTTAATCCTCACAACACCTAGGACATTGGTTCTTGATGCACGATTCCCAGACCAGCAACATCAGCATCTCCCTGAAACTTGTTAGAATTACAAGTTCTTAGAGTCCACCCCAGACCTTCTAAATTTGAGCCTCTGAGTATGGGGCCCAGCAATCTGTGATTTCATAAGCTTTTCCCGTGATTCTCCTGCATGCTGAAGTTTGAGAACCATAACCTAGAAAATTAGAGGCTATTATCATTGCTTTGCAACAAAAAAACTGAGGGCTAGAAAAGTAAAATGATTGTCTAAGTCATACAGAAAGTGGTTGAAGCAAGATGTAAATCCTGATGAGTGTAACCCCAGAGCCCAGTCCCTTAATCATGGTGCTACACTGCTCATTATACAAAAGAGAAGCATGGATTAAATCAGCAAACACCAGCAAAAACATGCAAAATGGGTGTATGAGTGTGACTGTGTTAAATCTCAACAGCTGAGCCATAACACTGGACCACAAAGAACTATGACACCTCTCAGAAATGTAAAATTTAACTTAAATGTCCACCAAGATGGGAATCATTATATAAATTATGATACATCCATGTTAAAAAATATAATGCAGCTTCACAAGTGGTGTTTGCCAAGATTTCTAGTGACCTACAGAAATATTTAGTACATGAGAAGGAAAGGAATTCAGAAACACAGTCAGAGACTAGGAGCACTGGTATGGCCAGTTCTCCCCAATGTTAACATATTGGTGAGGATGTGGGAAGTGAAGTGATTCCACAAAGTGCTGGTGTGAACATAAATTGGTTTGGTTACTCAGTAGGACAATCTGGCAACCGATGCTTAAATTTTTAAATGCATATGCTCGATGACCCCAAAATGCTACTTCTCAGAATCAACCCTAGGGAAATACTTGCAAGAGTGCATAAAGAGACATGTAGGATGATTAGACTACATTTTAGTTTCTAATGGAAAAGACCTAAAACAACCTAAATTTCTATCACTATGAAAGTTGGATAAATAAATTATGGTATGGTCTTACTGAAGAATGCAATGTGTAAGTTACAAAGAATGTAGATATTCACATATATGTTTGCATATGTATATGCATATATCTATACATACACACAACTACATATATTCATACTTGTGTATGTATTCATACATGTGTACATATATCTACACACATTAATACATATGTACATACACACATATATCTACATATATACACATGCATATATCTATAGATAGAGAATTGATGGATAGAAAGATGATAGATCTCAAGTGTACATTTCCAAGGTATATTGTTGAATGAAAGAAAAGTAAATTGCAGGAAACAAAGCATGAAGTTACTTAAAAACAAAAGGAGAGAAGAGAGGAAGCAGGGACAGAAGTGCAGAATCAAACAAAAAAATCCCATAAACACATACACAGCATTCTCAATTTTTAGTGCACATTTTCAGCAATGAGTGTGTATTGCCCTTAGTATTTAAACAAACAGCAACAACAACATCACTCTGATCCCAAGCAAAGAGAGACAAGCAAAGAGCCTCCTCTTACTGGTGCAGAGTGTGCACTGGGGCCTCTGGCTTCTCTGTCTGCCCATAGCAGCTGGCCTTGGCCTCCGGGATGTAGGAGAATCTCTCCAACATAGAAGATGCGGCAGTGGTTAGGATGCCCAGGCCGTCCCTCACTCTCGCTTCCAGGCTGTAGTCCCAGTCATCATAGGAGACTGAAATCAGTCCTGATGGAAACTCTTTGGGAATGAGCTCTGTGTTCCCAGAGACCAAGCTGGGGACAATCCAGAAGAAATCATACCCGGTGAGGCCAAGGGAGCGGGCCTCGCTCAGGATGAGGACAGCCTCATCTTTGGAACAGTAGAGCAAGATGACAGAAGAGTGGATCTTCTTCAACTGGACTTGAGTCTTTGCATCCTCAAAGGAAGTGTCCAGGGTGATCACGTTCTGCATGTCCCAGCCCACAAAGCTGTTGTCCACTGTGGTCTTAATGAAACTGATGAAGTCCCTGTAGCCAGGGAAGATGGTGGTCACCAGGGAGAAGACATGCCAGTCGTAATCCTGCATGATCTTCAGCATGACCATGGCTTGTTGCTGGATGGACGCTCCAAATTGGAAGAAGGTAGACGTCGGATCCTGCCAACAGGTTAAAAGAAAGGAAAACAGGATGAGGCAGAAGGCGGTTTATATAGCACCATCTGTCTTTATAGGCTCAAAGAAGCTCCTTCCTAGAAGTAAAGGAAAATAAATCACCTACCTATTCATTCTCAAACATTCCTTAGCACCTACTATATGCCCTACCCTAGAACAGATACTGGAAATACAGAGGTGAGAGGGGCCCTGAACTTACAGCCCACACCCTGGTATAGTGAAGACCATCTGTTATTTTTGCCATCCCATCATGTATTCTCCTCATTTTCCTCTAGCTCATCCCATTCACCCTGCCCTTTTGACTCCATATGTTTCCAACAGAATGAACTCTCTTTGGCCCCCAGGCTCATAACTGGAAAATGAGGCCAACAGAGACAAAACAAGATCAGTAAATAGAGACAGATACCTGATGACACACTGGGACCACCTGGAGTCTGCTGTGCCTGAAGTCATTTACTCTGGACCTGTTGGTTTATAAGCCAACAAGTTCCCATGTTCACTTGAGCCAATGTGAGTAGAATTTCTGTCACTTGTATTCTAGATTCCTGTGTAGTATAGAGTACAATAAATGCTGAGTGAACATCTATCTGCTGAATCAACAAATATTTGGTGAGCACCTAAAAATGTAGCATCATTTAAAAGCTTGGAGAAATAATAATATATAAGACAGACACAGACATTGCCTATGCCTTGTCTGTGGAAAGGCAACTTCCATAATCTGGGGGCTGAGAGAGACATAAAAGGATTTTGAAGGAGAAACCAGGTATAGAAGAAGAGGAAGGAATGAACATTGGAGTCAGAGGAGCCTGGAGAATAGATGTTGACTACTCCAGAAATTAGAGATAAATGCATTATGGTTTGTGAAATAGAGGGGGTGAGATGATGTTGAACAGCTTGGCAGGAACCCCATCATGTATGGCCTCAGGGGTTATGTTCAGGGGTTTAGACCTTATTCTGAGCATTAGGGGGAACTGCTGAATGCTCTTACACTGGAAAGGTAACTTGGGTGGGGTTGAAGGGCTTCTAATAGTCCTTACATCTCCCCAAGTCTATGATCTGATCATGAGAACAAATTTCCATTCAGGAAAGGCAGGTGGTACAATTTACAAATTACCTTCACACCCCTTGACCTGTCAAATCTCTACGATGGTCCTGTGAGGTTGCTATATCGTTAGGAGGGGGGAAAGGGGCTCAAAATGGTCACAACTAGTGAGTATCCAAACTCAGACTGGGAATACACACCCACCACCCTTTCCAACACAAACCACAGCCATCTTGGGATCACTGAAGATCTGCCCATGGCAGATGCTTACCCTGTGCTTACAGCGAAACAGAAGGTATGGCTCTGTGTTATAACAAAACAGGGTTTCACAAATGCTAGATATATTTCTTTCTGGAAACTGAAAGAATTCTCAAAGGGTCCTTATCGTATTGCAGCCACACTTTCATTTTGTATGCTGTATTTACCATGTGCACTTAACACAAACTTAATAGTACAGTTATGGGGATTCCGTTGTGTGTGTGTGAAGAGTTCTTTCAGAACAATACATTGTAGCAGTGCACCTCAATTCTTTGAAAAAGTCTGCATAGTATTTCCTGTAGGCTCTCACTGAACGGAAAGTTTTATCTGAATGGCCCAAAAGCTATAGTTCTTCAAAACACTCCCCTTTTCAAAAATGCATGGGTTAGGGGGATAATTTGAGTGCAGTGCAGCTTGAAGGCAAAAAGAAAAAACAGGAATAAATGCCTTCTGGGCCCCTTCCAACATTACAGTTCTATGAATTTTACCTAATTAAATCAATTAAAGTGGAAAACAGATTTAAAGACTTTGGATAATTATCTTTTTCCCTACAGTAGCTTTTGGAGAAATCCAATATTCTTAGATTGATTAATCATTTTAAATCATCCTCAACAAGACTGTGAACTGCTCAAGGGCAGAGATTTTGCTGTCCTCATCTCTCTGTCCCCAGAAACTGGCAGAAGGTTTGGCACATGACACATCACTTAATGGAGGGTGAGGAAATGCATGAGTGAATGAATGTGTGAATGAAGCCTAAGAAGAATGTCCTTAGTTTAAATAGAAACTGAAAGGGAAGAATTCAGTATCTGAGGTTGCATATTTATTTATTCATTTATTTATTTATTTGTTTAGTCCATGCAGACTCCAATAGCTTGGGGGCTCCTCTCCATATCGGCTGTCCTCCAGACCACAGGGACACACACCAGAAACCTAAGTTGATCCTTAGCCTATTTCAGAAACTAGCATCGCCATATCAATTGGCATGCTAGTTTTTATAGCACCCCCCCCCGCCCCCTCAATGAAAACCAGCCCACTCAGCCTGAGCCCAAGGAGACTGCATGCAGAGAAGGAACTGTCTTTTCTTGCAGTGACGAATAATGCTTTGGGGAGAAACTATCACTCATGCCCTTCATGGACCTCCCACAGCTACCTTACACCACTTTCACTTCCACCAACATCTGAAACAAACTTCAAAAACCGCTGTGGAACAAAGGCACTGTAAGCCCCTCGAAGGGATGGAAGCAAGAGTTATTTGCAAAACAGAATTGCACAGCGAGGCACTGAAGAGGCTCACGTTTAGCTGTGGGTTTTTCTAAGGTAGTTTTATGGACTGGCAGGAGGTGATGGGGGAATTTGGCCACATTCCCAGAGCCTGGCAGCTGATATGCCAAATGGTTCTTTCTTTCAGGGCCCTGAACATTATTCCTGCTTCCTGCCTGGATAGCAGAAGCCGTCCCTCCTGCACTTAACCTCCTCCTGCCGCCACTCAGCCTGTCCTTTTTGGATTCCATAGATCAGTCTCTGACCACCTCTGGCACCAGCCTCTCCAGCAGCGTGAAGCAGCGAGAGAGGAACAGATTTCAGACACCCACTTTGGTTCTGAAGCAAAAGCGGTTCTCTCCCCATGCTCACTGCTCTGCAGAACATAGAACAAACTGTTTTAAACACAGAGCGAGGGAGGCAGGGAAGTGTGGGATTCTGGGTGTCTGCTCTCAACTCTGTTTTAGTCCCACATGACAGAAGTATCGCTCCAATGTTCCAGAATGTTCCAGAGCTTGACTGAGTCCTCAGGATGAGACCTGACTCCATGGGAATCAAAGCCTGATGTTTAATGCTGTCTGATACCAACTTTCATTTCATTTATTCATTCACAAAGGCTATAAAGGACACCAACACCCATTATATCTTTGATTCTAACTCGCCAAGAGATGAGGTATTGCAAGTGGTTATAACACTCATGGCTGGCATTTCTCATAAAAACAGAGGGAGAGAGGTTAAGTGATTTCCCTAAAATCCATGTGGCCCCTTGCTGACAATAGCTCAGTTATTGCAAAATGTCATCTAATGTTTCCTTACACACAACAATGGCTCTCTTGTTCCTGGCTGCACAAGAAAACATTTTGGAAAGTTATTTAAAAATACCAATGCTTGTACCCATGCCAGTTCAACTGAAACTGAATTTCTGTGACCTGAGTATATGAACTCTAACACTGACTTATGTTTTTCTCTACCACATCTCAAAGGCAGGATGTTTTTCCAGTTAGTATCATCAAAGCCTAACACAATGTCTGACACACAGTAGGGACCCAATAGATATCTGGAGAGGAAAAAATGAGCAGGAAGCTCATCCACAGGAAGCATGAGAGAACTGGGCATTGTTATCAACCCTGCCTTCATTTCCATACTTATTTTCCTTCTGCCTACAAGAGTAGGTACCAACAAAAAGGATAATGATGAGCCCTGGTTTGGTGGCTAGGTTGGTTGGAGCATTTTCCAAAACACCAAAAGGTTTTGAGTTCTATTCTCCTTCAAGGCACATACCTATGTTGTAAGTTCGACTCCCCCGTTGGGATGTGTATGGGGAGGCTGCACATCTAACTTGCCCAAACTCACATCACTAGTACACAGCAGGGCCAGGATTCCAGACCAGATCATCTGAATCTAGTATCTGGATGCTTAGCTGCTGGGAAAGTGATTTCAGGTATGAAGAACAGGAAATAGAATGTGTGTGTGTGCGTGTGCGTGTGCGTGTGTTGAATAACCACTACTCAATCTTTCTCTTTTTTTAAACATTCTTTAAATCCTCACCCAAGGATATATTTATTGATTTCAGAAACACAGGAAGGGGGGAAGAGAAAGAGAGAAACATCAATGTGAGAGAGAAGCATCAATTGGCTGCCTCCCATACTCACCCCAACCAGGGATCAAACGTGCAACCTAGGTAGGTGCCCTGACTGGGGATCAACCCTGCATCCTTTTGGCGTGTGGGAGATGCAACCAACTGAGCCACCTGGCCAGGACCCACTCAGTCCTTCTTTAGGCACCCAACCAGAAAAGAAAATCTCACAGAAATGAGAATCAGTGTCAAAGATCTTGCGTCAACTGGCCGTCAGTGTATGTAGGAGACTGGGGCTGAAAAGGGAAATCACTCTCAGGTGCCATTTCCCTAAAGCACATCAGGTCCACCATTCACAAACACAATATTTCATCCCACACAACTTCCACTCTCTGGACCATTTTATGGCTTTTTTTCTGTACTTCATTTTCTCCCTATCAGTGAGGAAGAAGGCTCTCTTCCTATACTTACCACTGCATTTAACCACCACTGTGGCTCGGAAGCATCTATTATTTCTTCATCACCCACAGATTTATTTCTTTTTCCTTTCCCTATTTTACCTGTTCATGTTCAACCGACAGCAGTTCTCTCACACTATAAAGTGTCTAACCCAGCCTCTCTCCTTCCTCTCTCACCCACCTTCCACATTGCTAATTGAACTCCTCTTAATGTTCAAATTGGAGGATTGTGTTCCGCTGCTTAATTTTTTTCAGGAGCTCCTATAAACTTCAGGATAAAGCAGAAACGCATGTCAAACCCATCCCATCACAGTGTAGATTCAAGTGTTTGGGGCTCAGCCTCTAACTCAATACCTGAGAGATGTCGGGTACTCCATAAACATGTAACAAA